TCTGTCTGTCTGTGTCTATCTGTCTGTGTGTGTCTGTCTGTCTGTGTCTGTCTGTCTGTGTGTGTCTGTCTGTGTGTGTCTGTCTGTGTGTGTCTGTCTGTCTGTCTGTCTGTGTCTGTCTGTCTGTCTCTCTGTGTGTGTGTGTCTGTGTGTGTGTCTGTCTGTCTGTGTGTCTGTCTGTCTGTGTGTCTGTCTGTCTGTGTGTGTGTCTGTCTGTCTGTGTGTGTGTGTCTCTGTCTGTCTGTCTGTGTGTGTCTGTGTGTGTGTGTGTCTGTGTGTGTGTGTGTGTGTGTGTGTGTCTGTCAAGGCCGTCGATCTCACTGTCACCGACCGTGGATCGATCAGTGGCAGCACTGCTGGTGGAGTCATTACTTAATGATGAGAAGTTTCCCTGCAAGGTTTATAAAGCCACTCTACTTTAATTCACTGTTCTCAGCAGAGGATGAAACCCTGTTATTATAAGGGAAAGGAGTGGAAGCAGTTGCATTTGCAGATCCGTCCCTGTTATAATAGTGACAAGAGTTGTTGCATTTGATATCGCGCCTTATCACGTCGTTGAGACGTCTCAAAGCCCTTCACAGACTGTAAAGTAGATTGACTGTGTATTTGTGAGCGAAACGCGGCAGCCAATTGCGCCACAGCTTTGCGAGGTTTATATAACTCATGTATGTCTACCTGTAAAGGGTTAATCATTGTGCAGTACAGAGTCACAGATTGAGTTTACATGTAAAGGATCATCTGAGAAGTGCAAGCATATGTAATAGATCCACAGGATCGCACCTGTGGAGGATCTGTCTTAACTCATTGACCCTGAAAGGTAATGTGATCAGCTCTATTCGATGCAAAGAGCATCTGAACAAAGTATCTGGATAACTATGCATTGCCTCCACATATGAGATGTTTGAAAGCTGTTCGCCTGTCACAGACTTGTATTTGAAACTCTGGATGTCAGTTCATGTTATAGCAGGGGTTGTGTTATAGGTTTAAATGCTAAACTGTAACGGTACAATATCCCAATGTACTGTTACAGTTTGTCAATGAAATTGATAGTAGCAGAAGCCACTCAAGACAATCTGCTGCCCTAGGCAAACCTTCAGTGTGCCGTTGCCCCCTCCTACCCTCTTAGAAGTTCGCTAGCTTTTAGTGGGAGGATTTTTTCCTTAAAATGCCTACAAGCCACTTCTGGCACTAGCACATGGCGCTCGATGTATCCCCAGTCAAATATTAGACCAAATCACCTCTCTCAGATATCTGCCTAGTTTGCCTATAGCTAGAGCAGCCTCTGGTTAGCAGCAATAAAGGCACGTTTCGCAGCATAGTTATTTCTGTTCCTTTCACGGAGAATTAAGGATGCCAAGAGGTGTGTTACAAACTGTAATCTAACCCAATGGTTTGGATGACATCATAAACAACATAGCCGAACTCAAAGCATTTACAATCCTGACCCGAATAAAAAGGTAAAATTAGTTTGGATTTCACTTCTTGTTATTTGTTTCTTTAAAACAATGTCAAGTGTTTTAGTTGCATTTATTAGATTCCATTATTCCAAATTATTCTCTGTGTTTATAATGAATGTCAGCCACCATTTCTGTGCAGTCTGATTGTACTGGTTCCTGAGTATATGGAATCTGTGTTGATACTTATAAGAACATAAGACTGGAAAATACCATTAATGTTAATATATATTAAAAATAACAAATAATCCTATACTGCTCTATCTCCCACAATGAATTTATCTACCAAATACAGTAGCTATCTATTTGCTTCTTGAATTTGTTGACACAATTTGCCTCAACCATCTTCCTAACTGGTCTGTTTCCTATATTTAACTTTCAGTTTTATATGTCAGCCATCTGTCTATTGTGGGAATTGTCCTTTATAAATCCTGTGCACTTTATATAATGGCCACCTAATCCAGGTCTCTTCCATTTTGTGACTATGGAATTGAACCTAGAAAAAACATTCAGGCCATATTGGTTGAGATTGGATTTGCAGTGGATTTGTTGTCCGAATGTTGATAGAGGAGGTCATTGGGCACACCATGCCTTTGCGCTAGCTCCCTCAATAGAACTTGTTACTCCAATCTCTACCTTCTACACTTTCCCTATGCATAGTAATATTTATTCATCAACTATACTTTAAACATTAACAAAAGGATTCAAAAGCTGTTGATCAGAGAAGAGTCAGAGGTTGCCAGCAAGATCTTTAATGCATTTGTCAACTATACTATGGTTAGTTTCTTGGGTGACCATAATAGATAGGTTCCATAGTGCACTTTGTCACTCTGGACTATTCAAATTTAGTAATGCTCTGTACAGATGATAATCTTTTAAAGTACAAGATGAATTGTAATTCTTCAATGGCTTCTAGATGGTAATCTGCTAATCTGCTGACTTGATCAGGATATGTTCCCACCTCAGGTTCCCACACGGTGATTAGTGTAACGGGAATCTCTTGAAACCAGCTGACCAGAATGTATTCTTTCATTACTTTGGGACCTATGAGCAAAAAAAGCTCAGAAACATTTTAAGTTGTTTAAGATCTGCTGTTAAAGCGGAAGCAGAAGATGTAGTTTAGGTTGAGAGGTGGTGGAAGGATTTGCCTTGCAATCTGATTTAATCCCCTTGGTACTGTTGCAAGTGATCCACCATGACAGCTGCTGCTGTACAAGGATAAACCATGGTTGCTAATGATTTTGTCCGCTTTTCTGGCAGACAGCCAACATAATATACATAGTCCATCATTATTTATATCCATCTCCTGTTTACAAAGAGATTCAAAATTCGTGGACATAAATAGGATGGATTTAGTGATCAATCAGATATCTAGAATGTACAATGCAGCCTTCTTTATAGCATGGATTTAGTTATAATTATGTTGCACATGTGGGCACTCCATTCCTGTACATTGGCCAGTTTTCACACTACAATGACTGTGACTTCTGAGATATTAGATCATGGCTGACATCACATTTTGCTTTGGATACAACTCTGTGTCCTACACCCAGGGTGGCCAACCTTTATGACTGTACACTTTCTTGATTGAATATTTTTTGATTTATGTCCAGAGAATCGGTATGAGCGCCATTATTTCCATGGCAGATAATGATCCGTCGCCATGTTCGGTGCAACATCGTCCGTAACATAGATAGGGTGACGGGGAAGTTACTGGTATCAGACATTGTTACACTTGACTCATCAGCAACCGCAAATAAAAATTCACTGTAAGAAAAAAGCACTGGTGGGGGGAGGGGGGTAATAGGACTTTGTGAACACGCTGTAGATAGCTGAACAACAAGTGATCAGATAAGTGTTTAAGACTATAAGTGAACATTAGAGTGTCTTGTCAGTTTGCCCTTCACACTTTCTGATACAAAAATATTCTTAGCATGTTTGATTACATATTTCTATAATTCATTTATAGCCACATATTATCCAAAATATAACCCCAAAATGTAATAACTCCCTTTATTTATAGGTAGCAGTTGACAAAGTGCCAGAGAGGGATTTTCACGAGTCCCATTAAACTGTAAATTTGTAGTATGTGACAAAAATATTCCTCTTTTTATTTCAGATCAGATTACAGCCGTATGTCGTCCACAAGCAGTGAGTATCAGAAAAACACAAAGTTTGTTTGTTCACCTTTTTAATATGTGCTGTATTGAGAGGCTTACATCTGAAATGATTGTGATGAGAATGATCAAACATTTGACCCTACGCAGAGGTAAATTGGTACTTCATTTGTGTACAATGCTGAACTCGTACCACCTAGTTATCTGCTGTTCTTTGTTTTTATGGAAATTAGCCGCTGTTAATCCTGAAAGCCAGAGCCGTAACGGGTAGGGTGGTCCTATCTTGGCAAGCAACAGGAAACATGCTGGACAGTGCTTGTTTGCCAAGCAATGTGGTTTTAGCTGGCTAGACTCCAGCATTACCCTAAAGTGCACTCTGGGGTCGCCAAACCTTGCTATCACCAACCTGCGCTCCAGAATTAGGTAACCAGGGTGCATTCCTCCAGGAAAGGAGTGTTCATTCCATTCCAAACACAGGGACATTTCCATTTGTAGGTGGTATTCATGTCAAATTCTGTCTGCTTTGGATGATAAGTATAGTGATGGGTTTCTACATGTCCGACACCTGGCTGAGTAAAAGAAATGACAGTGTTAACTCAGCTGTAGTCCTAAACAAAGATGGCTGTCATTGCACTTGTGTTACACAACCTTAGTATTACAGTGGGCCATCAGCCAGCTGCTTGGTATAAATCATAAATGGGGATTAGAGGTTATGCCAGCCTCAGTTTATTTTGTCAGTAATAGGAAACGTCACAGTAGAAGCAGTACATGCAGGAAGCAGCTGAACTGCCAACGTTGAAAAGATGACCCAGTTGAAGGTGCTTTCCGTGGTCTCATCAGCCAGTTCCTGATCCGATTGCCATTTAATTCTGCCGCTGGAAAGCGTGCGTATGCATGGACATCAGATGACGAAAGGTTCAGCTCGACCTTCATGCTGCTTCAGCCATGTGATGCAAAGTAATTTACTCTCTAGCCTTGTGTTTGAACAATAGCTGTTTGGCTGAGGTATCAGAAGGTGAGCTGGTGCTCAAGGAACTGTACCACAGCAAAGAGTCAGCGCCTTCAGAGAAGGAGGAGAAGGGGAAAATCAAACTATTGACATCTCCTGTTATAAATCAATGTGATTTAGAACTCATTCTTGAACAGAGCTGGAAAGACATTGAAATCAGATTGAATATTACAGCTGTTGCTTTTGCAATGCCTCAAGTCTAGGGCACAGAGGTTAGCCTGTGTGGATAGGAACAAACTGAAATGATTGGTGTCCGTGAGATATTTTAAAATCACTGAGACTTTGTTTCATGCTGCAGAGACAGTGGAAAATCTGCTGGCGTGCCGGCAAAGAGAATTCCACCTCCATCCGGTCTGGGAATTGCTATCTGTCTTGACCAAATGTTTAAGCACCATGAAAAGGAAGTGAACTTTTCAGGAAGAGGCATGAAATAGTAAATAATAATTTTCCTTGCATTTCATGGAGCACCCTTCATCAGGAGGGCATCTCAAAGCCCTTCACAGGATATACTATTTGGTGTAGTGACTATATATTTTGTCGGCGAACGGCTTAGCCAGTAGAAAAGTGCGGAAATGTTTGCCAACAATTGCAGGGAGATTTTAACATTTTGCGGAAACATTTGACAAATTTTGCTGAAAATAGCGGGGAGTTGATTGGTGCTATTGAGGTACATTTTACTGCCAACCTACATTTTTTCACTTTATTGACAAAAACTAAACATGAGGAAATAACACATATTAGATTGTTGCAAAAAAAATTAATTGGTTCTTTAACAAAAACTGGGTGGCCATTATTTGGGGGGGAGAGGAAGGACAACAGCGAGGCTACAGGAGCTCTCAGAGCCCAACACCGCACAAAGACCCAGAGAGAGAGAGGCACACAGACACACATACACACACTCACTCAGACACAGAGAGGAACACACACTCACAGACCGAGAGAGAGAGAGACAGACACAGAGAGACACACACTCAGACACACAAACTACATTTTTAGTGGATTTGTAGCGGATGAGGGTGTTTGTAGCGGATTCCGTGGAAAAAGTTCAGCCGCACTTTTCTATTGACCCAGGCGAATGGCAAGAATCAAGAGAGTCAGCCCAGTATTAGTTTTGTTTCTAATACTGTCCTGACCTTAATTATGTTAAATCAGGTCCAGTACTTTGATAATTAAATTGATATTTAAAAAAGACTGAGTTTATTAAGTGTGAATTTGACATTATCCGTGTGCTGCACAGTATTGTGAAATATGATCTAGAGGGCTGAACCATATGTTTCATTTTAATACTAGAATAATAATTCTCACATTTTGGTATAGTGTCTCTTTTTCATCAGGAGAATGTCCCAAAGCGCTTCGCAGGATATAATGTAAACTGAAGTGACTGTGTTTGTGCGGGCAAATGTGGCTGCCAATTTGTGCCCAACAATGTCCCACAAACAGGCATGAAGTGAGTGTCCAGTTTTATTTAGGGGGAATGTTGACTAGGACACTGGTAGAACTTGACTTCTCTTTATGAATAGTGCCGTAGGAGCTTTAACGTCCTCTTGAACAGGGAGACTGGCCTCAGTTTAACGTCTCATCCAAAGGATGGCTCTCTCCAAAAATGCAGTACATCCCCAGCACTGCTTTGGATTGTCAGCTTAGACTATATTAGTTCCAAATCCTGACGTGGGGCTTGAACCCACAACTTTCTGACTCGGAAGTCAACTTTCTACAAACTGAGCCAAGCTGAGACTTTATACGGAGATGACAACAGAACAGAAAGCAACAGAAAGCTATTTAGTCCATTGACCCCACTTCACCATTGACATTCATACTATAACCTCCACTAATACCATCATCCCATCATTATCCGTTAATATTTTTAGTCCTCCAGAATCTACTCATTTCTCATAAATTCCTCATCTGATTTTTGGTACTATACATTCCAGATTCTTATTGCACTCCAAGAGGAAATTGGAGACCTCATCAAAATACAGGCAAACTGCTTTACTTCACACTTCACCAAACCGATTTTAATTTGTCATGTATTTTCAATGCTTAAAGCAAAGCAGTAATCATTACTCACACTGCATAATCCACAAAGGATTGTGATGCACCATTAAAGCTGTCGCTTTTGTCATCTTACCTCATTTATTTTTAAAGATTATTATGAAGACTTCTGAGATTATGATTTGTACTGTTGATCCTAATTTGTGAGCAGTGAAGAGTCGTGAGAACACAGAATACATTTGACATTTCAGGGATCATCATATTAAATCTCCTTTAGACTTCAAGAGAAATCATGAGTAAAGTTGAGACGCCTCAAAGCATTTCGCAGGATATTCTATAAGTGGTGTGACTGTACATTTTGAGGGTGAATATGGCAGCCAATTTGCATATAGCAATGTCCCACAAATGGCCATGGAATAAATGATTTATTTTATTTGTGGGATTTTTGCCAGGAAACCGGGAGAAATTCCCTTCTCATATTGAATAATGCAATGGGGTCTTTAATGACCCCCTGGACAGGCAAACGTTTAATGTTGCATCCAAAGGATGGCATCTCTGACAATGCAGCACATCCCAGCACTACATTGGAGTGTCAGTTGGAGACTGTATTGGTTCCAAGTCCTGATGTGGGGTTTAAACCGACAACCTTCTGAGCCAGAGGAGAGAATACTATAACTGAGCCAGACGGCCACAGACTTAAGTACAGAGCTCTTGTGATGTGAGGTGCATTGGCAAAATACTGCAACTTAGCAACAACAACAAGATTACATTTGTATAGTGTCTTTCACGTCGGGAGGATGTCCCAAGGTGCTGGACAGTGTACGGCATTTCAGACCTGAGCTGGGGTCAGGGGGGAGAAGGGAGAGGAGGGGAGGGGAAAGGGGGGTGGCCGATGGCATGGTTGAAGAGGAAGGTTTTGAGGCGGGACTTGAAGGAGGCTAAGGAGGGGGCGAGGCGGAGTGATCGTGGGATGGAGTTCCAGAGGTTGGGGCAGAATGGCTGAAGGCTCTCCCGCTAATGGTGGGGCGGGTGGGTCGGGGGATGTGGCGCAGGCTGGAGCCGGCTGAGCAGAGGGAGTGGGCGGGTTAGTAGGGGGTTAGGAGATCACAGATATAAGGTGGGGCGAGACCATTGAGGGCTTTATAGGTGAGGACCAGGATTTTGAACTGGATCCTCTGAAGGATAGGGAGCCAATGGAGTCGGGCGAGAATGAGGGAGATGTGGTCACGGAGTTTGGCAAATAAATAAACACAAATGGAAACTGCAAGTGCTGCTTATGAGTCAATCAAAGAGCTGTGGTGATAGCACTATTGAGGATATCCTTGATTCAGACTGTCCGACCTCCCAGAGAGAGGAGACTCTGTGGTGCCAAACTGTTTCCATGGGGAGTTAGAGATCAGCACTTATTATCCAGTCAGTGTTGTTAGTTGTTGGCTCCCAAATTGTACTTTAAAATGGGATATTTTAGATGCTAAAGTTAACAAGAGAATAATGGATGAGAGAAAGACAAAATATGTCTGCTCTGATCACAGCATATAAAAAAATACTTCCTCCATTAAAGAGTTAACGGCAGTTGTTAAAGTTCAAGTGCTCCGTTTTTGAAACGCTGCCTGAAACAATATGTTGGCAACCTCAGAACTGCTCTGTCACAAATGGCGAGTCTATCTGTCTCTATAAACAGTGTCAGGACAGAATCCATCATCCACAGTGAGTCTCAGGAGAGCAAAAAAAACCTCTTGGATAAGATTACATTTCACTCAAGGACACATTTTAAACTGGCCTTTACAATACCATATAAATGGGTGCGGGCTGGGCGGGGGCGGGGGGAGTTGGAGGGTGGAAGGAAAATATATGGGACATGTTTGCTTAGTGTGAAAAGGGAATTTTTAAAAAAAATCATAACTGTCTTCCTGTCTGTCTCTGCTTCCTTGTTAGAATGTTTTCTGTCCCTCCCTCTGTCCCTCACTGATCATCAGTTGAACAAGTTAAAGAAAAAGAGACCCTTAGATGTTCGCCACTTCTAAAACCAATGTTCGAGATATGCAAGGATGCATATGAATAAGGGGATATCATTGGGATAGCTCCAGGGCCTGACCCCACCTTACCTTGCCATCTCCTGCATGTCTCTATTGCTCCAGGCGCTTTCTCTGCTCAGCAAGCATTTGCCTGCTTCATGTCCCTTCCTGGTCCACCCCACAATTGCTGAACAGTCACCGGTCTCTCTTTTTCTCCTTGGAACTGCATCCCAGAGTCTCTCTGCTTTACCTCCTCCCTTCCCGCCTTCAAAATCCACCTCCAACCCATCTTTTCGATTGCTCTGTTGGCTACTTTCTCCCCATCCCAAGTTTCCACCCACTTCACCCCCAATTCAGGCTCCCGTCAGCTGTATGAAGTGCTCTGAGACGTCCTCCCAACATGAAGGCTTATAAACGTCAATTGTTGTTGTTTCCATCTGTTCCTCCAGTGGCAGCTTTGCCACCAGTGAATAAATGAAGGCAGTGTTCCCATTGCATAACTCGTAGAGACCCACTTTAAGAACCGTTTTCTCCAGAACAGTGGATGCAGTGTTGCCAAAAGCTGCATATAACTCAGCCGTAGAGATCTCGGGAGAGGCTGTGATATGTTGCTCACAAGTGGCTTGGGCTGGATAACAAATGACAGACAAATGTCAATGGTATGCTTCCTGTATTTGTCAGCAGGGCCAGGATTTGAAAAAGGGCAGGTATAAGAAAATATATATTTTCTACTTGTCAGATGAAAGGATATAAATGCCTCATCCTTGAGACCTGAGATCCAGGCCCCCCCACCTCCCCCATGTGTTAATTTATACCTGAGGTACCGTATTGGGAAGAAAGCCATGCGATCTGCAGAAGCAGATGGCAAAAAGATTAAGGCACTTCACTATTGGCAACTCATATTTTTGGGAATAGCCACTATAAAGATTTCTCCTGTCTATTCTCCCAGAAAGTGTTTGAAATGCTTTTAATGGATTTTGTTAAATGTATGTGTGAACTGGTGCTGGAACACAAGTGTTTTCAGGCTGTTGTTCAGATTAGAGCCGGGCCTTGTTTAAGTGCTAGCTGAGTGGGCATTGGAACAATTTTTGTGCTGGTTACTGTCTCCCCCAACGGCTTAGTTTTTGGTTCCATCACCCGAGACAAAGGAGGCTTTTCATGGATGTGTACGTAATCTTAGATCCTTAATGACTGCATTGTACACTGGGCTTTGAATTGTGCGTAGCTGTTTATTTTCACTCCTCGTGGCCTGTTGAGAAATAAACCAGCGGGCTGAAGCAGTCATCTACATAAAGGTTCCCCCAAGGCCTTTAATCCAAGCCAAACTTTCAACCCTCAAAGAAATATAAATGTTGGTTTATGTAGATGACAATGAACCTGAACAATTCAGACCTTCCAACGATATGTGCACCAGATTGTAGTTTGTGAGTTTCCTATTGGATGACTCCTGGAAATAAGCAAAGTCCAGAAGTCAGATGACAAGTAGCAGTCATTAGCAGGGACAACCAATCCACTACACACTGCAAGGCTTCCACAAACAACCATAACCATTTTTTTTCTGGATGATTGTTGTTTAGGATACTGGCAGAAACTCCCTTTACTTTCCATTGCCATGCGATTTATAACATCTGCTTGAAGAAAGAGATTATGAGACTGAGATTGATAGATTTCTAAAGGATAGAGGGATTAAGGGATACGGGGATAAGACGGGCAGATGGAGTTAGGTTAGAAAATCAGCCATGATCTTATTGAATGGCGGGGCAGGCTCGAGGGGCCGAATGGCCTACTCCTGCTCCTAATTCATTTGTTCCTATGAGACCTTGATTTTAACATCCCAGCCATCTCCATAAGACTGTACCTCCAACAATGCAGTCCCTTCCCCTTGAATATTGCAGCATAGCTCACAGCCCGAAAAGTTATACATACATCCTTCTTATTCAAATAAATAGTGGACGACCTACAGAATAAATCAGTCGTGAATGCCTCCCAGGTAGGGAGCATTAACTTATATTATCTTTCATATCTGTCTGACTTTGATCTGCGCTTTGAGATAGTGAAATAATGTTCTATCAATGAGTGCACTTTGTCTATGTGCATTGCAATCTATGACATACTGCACATTGGGAATCAGGCTACACTAAAGGCAGAATGATACCGATTCATCTGCAACTAGTGGTTTTACAACAATATAAAATTTATATACGTAGTGCCTTTCATGTCGGGAGGATGTCCCAAAGCATCTCACAGTGCTTTTACTTAAAGCACTCTAGGCCGCTACCCTGCGTGAGGGGCACTATATAAATGCAAGTTGTTGTTGTACTTACATTAAAGAATTGAGCAGCCTATCTATACACTACTTCAGTTAACTCGGAAATGCTCAACCACAGCAAGATGGTTGACTCCTGCAGTGTCGCAAAATCCCTCCAAGGAAGTTTGGATAAAGCCTTGGCATGAACTGTGAATACACTTTCAGTGCCACTAAAGGTCAGGTGCAGACAATTGACTGACCTGCAGATGAATTGCGGGAGAATAAAAAAATGGATAAAAAGAATGAAAGACCTGTTCAGTGCAAACTCTGTTTGGTGACCTTCATTCTAAACAAAAGTCTTCAGCTGTTATTGGAGCTGTGGCCCTGCTATCATCTGCTCGTGTGAACGGAAGAGAAGAATGTGGAGAGTGTTTGCTGCTAATCATTTCAATGCTGCAGACACCACAGATTGGTAAGTCATTTAGGCAGGAGCTTGAGTGGGTTTTTTCTGTTGTTAGAAATCTGCTTGTTTATGGTAAGAGGAGCCCTTCTGAAAGACCACCCTGCACTTTACAGTTACTCAAATGAAATCCAGACGATATTGTCTTTCTACACACTTGTCAGCTGCTGAGTAATGTTATAAAATGGTAGTTATGCTGTTATCTGATCACTGTCATTTTTAGTGATTGTTGCATACTGACCACACTTCTTCTGTCCACCGAATTCTGACTCTCTGCACAAAAGGTGACTTAAAAGGTCATTAAAATGACTTAATGGCAAACTAAGAGCAGGAGGGTGTTCTAAAGAAAGTTATTGCTGAGTTAATAAGTGTTTCGTAAAATAGATTAACGATTATCAAATTGGATATTTTATCAATTTCTGACACAGTGTTTATTTTAATTGCACTCTTTGTTACTGTTCTAATCTTTAAACTTGTCCATGTGGAGTTTTAGATTGAAACTGCCCTCAGAATGCTTTTTCAGAGTCTCCAAATGATGTCCTGCTGTGCTCTGTTTGTGCTACCAACAAAGTGGATGAAATCAGGCATGACATGGACAAATTACCCTTGGAAACCATCCTTTCTAAAACAGACAACACCGTAATACTGTAGGATAAAAATGCGTTCTCATCTTGTTTCAAATTAGCTATGAAATTGAGAGGTCAAAATTACAATCCAACGCTGATAATTATCGCAACACAGAAAAGTCCACTTTCGATGCTTTCATGTTCCTTCCCCATCTTCAGGTCGCACCTGAAGACCTTCCTATTTGAACATGTCTACGGTCACCCTCCCTCACCCCGCGGCTTGGCATCGTGCTCTGCCACTGTCAAGTGCTCCAGGTCGGTGCCCTGCGTGAGGGGCGCCATTATAAATTCATATTGTTGTTGAACGCACCAATATCCCCTAATTCTGTCAAAATGGTTACTCTGTAATAATAATAATAATCCTTGCATTTGATACAGCGCTTTTCACGTTGGGAGGACGCCCCAAAGCGCTTCACAGAATACACTGTAAAGTGAATTGACTGTATATTTGTGGGCGAATGCGGCAGCCAATTGCACACAGCAATGTCCCACAAACAGTCGTAGATTGAAAATGACCAATTTATTATTGTTTTGTTATTTCGGAGAGATTATTATTAGGCGTGTGGAGTAAGGAAACTTGCCCAAGGTTTCGCCCTCTGCCTGGAATTGAACTCAGGTCTCTCGCTTGCAAAGCGAGTGCTCTAACCACTGAGCTACAGGACTCCGAACCTGTACCTGAGCCATTCAGAGATTGTGAACGAGCTATGAGGTAGTCACTGAGATTTCGATCCAATGTAAAATGACTTGTATGAACAGCTATTGTGAATATTGCAATGTCAGTTCCCTAGAAGGTAACTGCAGCATTTTGTTACTGGTAGTTTCCAGGGTCAATCTGGAGTCATTGCTGGCTTAGCCAACCTTCCATAGGAAGGTACATGCAACCGTTTATAGAAACGACAACAACAACTTGCATTTATATAGCAGCCTCACTCAGGGTAGCGCTTGACAGTGATGGAGCACCACACCGAACCGGGGGGAAGTGGGGAGGTAAACCGAGGCACGAAACCTTGCTGAGAAGGAACATTTATATATTGATTCCAGTCACAATGCCCGACAGCAAGTGGAAAGATAATATTCTCTATTTGCAATTGGAGGAATCTCTAAGGTCTTAGCAATCAGTGACTCCATGCATGTAGCCATGACAGATATTGAATCCCTTGGCTTTCATAAGCCTTAAATGCTTCCACTCCATCAACCTGCAGATGGTGTGTGATCCCAACCGAAAAATAATCCCATCAATACTAAATATACTAGTGGGACTTGTGATGCATATATTTTTCAGCTTTTCATATCTGATTTATTCTGTTAACCCAACATAATGGAAGATTAGTAACTGGGTGATTTGGCTACAGGCTGCCTCTGTAAATAATCCAACGAATATTCTAATTATGAATCTCTTTTTTATTCATTATTTTCTCCCCATTTTAGGTGATTTTCCCTGGGAGGAAGTGCCTGATCCCTTTCTGGTCACCATGCACATCATTGCCGATCCAGGAAACTCCGGAGCTCTGCAGAACGCGATTGACAGCCTTTTGAAATGGATTAATCTGAATCTGCAGCTGTTCATCGTCTCCGAGCGTGGTTTGCCTCAGAAAACAAAACCTGGCAGTGGGATTGTAATCCAGCCGGCGTTGGCAGTCATTCTCTTCATGCAGGAAGATTATGAGGAAGACGAAATCTTCCAGCTCCATGGAAGCTTCCTCCGTCCACCGTGGCAGTATCACCACACTGAACGCGTCAAAGGCCGAAACCTCCCTTATGTGCCGCGTAACCAGGCTTTCTTCACGCTTGCCGATCACACGGCACTTTGGGCTGTCAGGCAGGTACATTATGGGAAAGAAATCATCCGCTTTACTGTGTACTGCAGCTTTGAAAATTTTGTGGACATGGTCAAGATGTACCAGCTTATCCTGAGAAGGGAGGTGTCAAAGCGGAAGGCAGATTTTGTCTTTTTCACCATCTATTCCAATTTGGACGTTGACATTCAGTTCTCACTGAAGAGGCTGCCAAAGGGCCAGTATCCCACTCCCACCGAATCTGCTGTGTTGGAATTTCGAGTGCAGGACATTGGGCACCTTGTGGCTCTGCTTCCCAATGCGTGCAGCCCAATCAGCGACGTCAGATGGCAGACTGAGGACTGTGATGGCAACAAGCTCCTATTACAGGTAATGTGACGTCCTGTTGCTAACTAGGTTCAGGAGAAGGGGAGGGGAGCAAATTGAAGTAGAGTGCTGTAGCTCAGTGGTTAGAGCAATCAACTCGCAAGCGAGAGGACTTGAATTCGATTCCCGGGCAGGGTGAAACGATGGGCAAGTTTCCTTACTCCACACGCCTCTGTTTACCTAGCAGTAAGTAGGAACTTGGTTGTTGCTTGATTGGTGAATCGCTTTTCCGGGGGTAATAATTCCTTCAAAAAAAAAGAAGAAAATTGGTCATTCAATCCATGACTGTTTGTGGGACACTGCTGTGCGCAATTGGCTGCGTGTTTTGCCCACAAAAATATACAGTCAATTCACTTTACAGTATGCTCTGTGAAGCGCTTTGAGATTAGGTGCTATATCAAATGCTAGGATTATTATTATTAAAACTGTCAGGGTGGAAGTAAGGTCGAGGCCCAAACAGATTGTGCTCATTAGCCTCATTAATCAACTGCTTATTCTGCTTTTTTAATAATGTATTTTTAACAGATTTGGAAAGCACAATATCTAAAGAATTATCTTAAATTTAGCTTTGAAACAAGGAGAGTAACCGTTTCATACCACTTGCACACGTTAATAGTTAAAGCCTCTTGCGTCTTCCTGTTGTGTATAAACTCCTTTGAAAAGAACTAGGGGTATAGAGAAGAATGTTAGATTCAGTACAAACCTTCCAGGAAGTGGTATCTCACTTCAGCCTGACTGCCCATCCATGCACTTTGTACATTCACCCCTCCTCCTCTTATCCCTTTATTGTGTAAGCTCTGTAAAGCGGTTCTTGTTTCTAAATGAGAATCCATCTCTATTTTGCAGCTTTTCAGCATTTGGATGCTCTGTCCGTATTCTTACTCTTTGTTACTCGGATTTCTTTCCCCACATCTAGTTTCCCAGCATTCAGCCTCTCACATCTCTGTTACAGTTTCACATCATCTGGCCTCCCATTTTCCATTCGTCTTTTCTCACGTTTCCTTTATGCGCTTGTTTTCTGCTGCCTGTCTGGCCCTCAGCAACTCAGAATTAGAACAAATGCTAGGGCTGCACTTCCACTATAACCAGCTCTCTGTGATTCTTTAGTTCATAGATGCTATGCTTAGACATTTAGAACAGTTAAGGGTACAACCCCATTATATATAGAGGATATTATCGAGGATTCGTAAAATGTTGTTTGCATTCTATGAGTGAGGGCAGGCCTGGGGTTCATGAGGAAATAAAGTTGATCATCTTCACAGCTGAAATATAAATGGTATCTGATGGTTTTACACTCTATCTTCAGAGGGATGCATCCTGCTAACCCAATTCCGGAAAGCTTTATGTGTACGTTGGTAAGAGCAAAGCTCCTATGGTGAAATATTTCTGAAATATTCTAGTTATTATTCCTGTTGATGAATGCCTCAAATTAGACCCTAGTATTGGTTCAGAGAGTAGTAGGACTTAATATAGGATACAGATAATAATAATAATAATCATAATTCTTGCATTTGGTACAATGCATTTCATGAGGAGAGGAAATCTCAGATAAATACAGCGGCACTTTAGAGCACCAGAAGATTGTTCTGCAAGCACAACCCTGACAAGATCGTTCACCAGGGTGTGGGAAAGTGTTTGTGATCCTCCTAGCCAACATAGCAGAGAGAAGGAATCATCCTCGTGCCAGGAATAGTGTGTGCTGCAGGGAGACTCAACTAGGGAAAGGCAAGAAGCCAATTTAACAAGAGAGATTAAGCACTACCTTCACAATTAAAGAAGTCACATAAATACTTCTCTTTGTTTCACTTGACACTAATTTCTTCCTTCAGTTGTTGAAATGACTTGGCGGGATTAGATAGTAATGTGTAAGCTCTTGTATGGCTCTATCGGATTGACACTTTTCACTGCGAGTCAGCAGTACGGACCCTCTTATGCTCTGGTTCACTGGTCAATATAAAGAGAATTATCAGGAATTTTCACTCCAGTGGAAGAAAGTACAGTCATTGGGAATGGTATTAGAATTTCAATGCAAGGCCTTTTGTCTGCTTTAGCTTCTAATTCAGGCTTGCTGTCCAACTTTTTCTTTAGGTAACTGAATACATTTCATATTTACTGTCAGTGCACCGAAAAACAGTGCATCTTTAATTCCTTGATTCTGTCGCTCACTTGGCTACTCTTACTTGATGTAATGCAAGCACGTTTGGCTGCAAGAATACAGTAGATCTTTCACTCCCATTGCGATACACTAGGTAAAAGCATCAGGTTCTGGCCTCCCCTGTGTCCTTTAAACTTTCCTTAGTATACATTTTCAAGTTGCAATCAGTAATTCCCAACTTTTCTACACTAGAAAGTGCCATCTGTCAGATCTCATGAATCCCTTTTACATAGAAACAGGAGTAGGCCATTCAGCCCCTTGAGCCTGTTCCACCATTCTATAAGATCATGGCTGATCTGTACCTCAAGTCCAATTGCTTGTCTTTGCCCCATATCCCTTAATAACCTGACCTAACAAATATCTGTCCACTTCAGTCTCGAAAATGTGAATGGACTGAGCATCCACTTTTGGGGGAGAGAATTCCAGATTTCCACTACTCTTTGGGTGACAAACTGCCTCCTAATTTCACTCCTAAATGGCCTAATTCCAATTTTAAAATTATACCTCCTTGTTATCTGCAACACCGCCCACAACTGTCCTTTTAACCCACATCCATGCCATGACGCACTCTGCTTTCCCCCACCTCCGCAACGTTGCCCGGTTCCGCCACTGTCTCACGCCTCAGGCCATTTACACCCATTTATCATTTTAACATCTCATCTGAGGAATGGCACCTTCGACAATACAACACACCAACAGCACTACATTAGGCTGTCAACTTCGACTATGTGATTCCAAGTCGCGATGTGAGGCTTGAACCCACAACAACCTTCTGACTCTGAGGCAAGACTGCCAGAAATGAGCCAGGCTGACACACGTCAAAAAATCGCAAAGCATTGCACAGGGCTTTCTGTAAAGTATAGTAACTATTTTGACCCAGAAGTGAGAGTGCTACCAACTGAGGAAGGCCCATCCCTGATCATCTCAGTTTATGCATCTCTAGGCATTTCGAGCTGAAGATGCCTAAACTACCACACAATATTCAAACAGATTAAAATGTCATCTTAACAGATGCAAAAGAAATTACTCTATTGTGTATTCCATTTAAAATCTGTTTTTATTTCTTTAAACAGCTGTGTGAACAGAAGAAATGTTTAGTGAGTGTGAAGCAGAATGGAGTCTGTAGTACTACGCAATCTGTACGTTTGCCTTTTGATATTTAATGTGATCAGTTGAAGTCCTTCTGATGTCGTTTAGTGCAGTCAAGACACAAATGTCCTTTGTTGTGTCAGACAGTACCAGTTTCATGTGGATTTAGAGCATTTTGTCTCTGGCACAAACTAGAGCGGGAGACACCAGGCAGTGCTAAGTAACCTTGAGTGAGGTAATAGGCTTTGAAGGCTTTGGCTTTACAAGGAAAACGATTTATACATTATTTAGTGCACACTTAAAACTGAGAACCATCCACAGAGTAACTGAACAGGGACCTGACTTTGAATAATCAGTGGTAATGAATCCAGTGATTGTACTAAGTGGCATGGTCCATAGCAGAATGTATTCACCCCATCGGTGACTGTTGCAGAATTCAGAGCTGATGCATTGCTGAGTAAAAAGGCACAATTGCGTGTATCAGCCATAAAATGGAACAAAATGTCAATGTAATGAAGTGCAGTCAGGTAAGCCTACAGGACATACCGGCATATTATTCTCACCATCAACACTGGCCTGGTGCCAAGCTGCAGGCTTTGTTAAGAACATGAAACCAAGGTGGACCCTATTTAGCAGCACAATGTGGATGTAATTGCGGCCAGAGAAATATACAAATCAGAAATGTAATCATGCTGCGGAAAAAANGATTTCTCCACTGTTAGCACTCTGAGGTCTAATGGGGTAAAGTGTAACATTTCATCCCCCGTTTCCTTGTGTTAATTAAAACACCCCACAGACATTATCCCCTAATGTGATATTTTCTAATGGGACTTTAAAATAAGGAAACCTGAAGTATATCATTTTGAACTGCAGAATGCAACTCGATGGGAATCTACTTTTGGAGTGGAATTCTCTTGAGTCAGTTTGAATATTGGATTTCACTTGGATTCCTTATTGAAGAATCTCACTAAATATCTCCACATATTAGATCCAAATGTTAGCAGTAAGTACTACGGATGAGTGGGACCTCGATATCATGTTACATGCAGTTAGACCCAGGGTAAAGGAATTTGTGTTTTTTGCTGCAGGTAAGAGCTGTATCCAGAAGTTCCTGGCGGAGGAGTGTGGTTCCCCAGTATAGCTCAGCGAGGAGTCGCTCCTTCATTCCTTCTCAGGGCTCCCTGCCCCAAAGCCTTGGCTCTGCACCAGACAGGTACCTTCGTCAGCGACCCATCGGCCACAAGGTCCAACAAATAAACGGTTTCAGACGATGTAGGCGGAACTTGCAAGGAAGCATTTCGATCGATTACCAGGAAACCTCTAGCAGAACGGCGAGCAGTGCTTCTGAGAATTCATGGGCTGCCCAGCGCAGCAAGTCTTTGTTCTCTCTGCCAACATTCAGCACTTCTTCATCCTCCTCCTCCTCTTCATCACCACTCGGTGAGCCAGCCGCTACATCGCACGGTGGAAGCCAGCAAATCATAGTTCCAGAACTTCACAGCACCTCACAGGTTGTGGTCAATGAGTTAGAAGAGACAATGGAAACTGATGTTGACACAGGTCTGACAACATCCTGTTCAGACCTCTCTGTTGTGTCTGCTTATTCAACACTGAATGGATTTGGCAAAGATTTAGACGCCGCTCTTCCTTTAATAAGGAATTGCAGCAACAAACCAAAGCCTGGACTTTATAGGCCTTTATCAACAATGAATAGTTCACTTCCTTCCTACTCTGAACTTTCATCTGGTTCATTTCCTCAACTCCCGGAATTCTCTTCCTGCTTCCTAAACTCACACATTCCTTCGCCACGTGCCTTCAACTCTACATCTGGACTTTGCACCAGAAAGAAGCAACCTCTTCCTTTCCAACCTAGCCGTCGAACTCAAAGTAAAAACTACCCTGCAATCCGACAACTATCCCTCCAAGAGGAAAAACAGGAATTTTACATTTGAACCACTTGTGTGGCATAATAACTTTTTGTTGCCTTTCTTCAGCAAAGCAATAGTAAATTGTACATGAGTGACACTAAATGAAGCGAACAATTGTTTATCTACACTCTACAGAAATGTTGCTGGGTTTTGACTCAAGACTCACTTTTGACTCAAGACTCACTTACGATGGTTGTGCGGATGATGTCCTTAAACGCGCATTGTCAAAGTTGCTACTCTGAGCACCAAGTTGGAATATCACCTTCTAAAAGAGTTGAAGTAAAATGGTTAGGAAATGCAGAAGTGTTGTTTTGGTGTAAACAAATGATTCCATCATTTTAAGCTTCAAACAGCAAGATGTCCGCTTGGAAACATCAAAGGTGTTGATAGACAATGCTCCAGTTTTTAAAGTTTTCAAACATACCAGTTGCATTCAGGAAATGTATATGGTTTGAAGAACTGCAATAATATAATTTCTTATAGAGATCACCAGAGGCAGATATTTCTGAGCCAGTGACTTGTTTACATACATTTCTGGAACACAAGCCAGAAATTCTTGACTACAGAGTTCTATCCTCTTTTATTTTGTGCAAGAAACATAATTTTGTTCTACTAACTCGTGATAAGCAGGTCCTGGATTCCTACATAGATACGTTTGTTTTAGGATATTGGCTCAGTCATTTCTGTTACTTAAGGCTGATTCTGCCAAATATTATTGACATCATTAAATTTCCCTTCTCCCCAATCTCTATTCGGTGGGTAGTTCTAGTTTGGAATCTGAGCAAATGTTACTTGATTGAATATAGTTAATATTTTAGATGAGTTTAAACTATCACTCTGTGTACGTTTTAATAAATGTCCTGCTGGTTGATGCTTTATGTACTTAAGTTGTGAAATTCCATCTAGTCTTAGCCTGTGAGGCTATTCGTTTTAAAATTTAAGATTCTGCAGAATTATGGCCAATTCTTAACCTCGGTTTTAATTTGGAAACTTTTTTTAAAGAATTGCAGGAAAGCAACTTCCAGGTTAGCAATGAGTTTAAGAATGTTCTAGACTTCTGCACAAAATTTTAAACAAATAGACTCACAGGCTAATACTAGGTCGAATTTCGGACCTGTAGTTTTTTAAGGACGGTCTTTTACGTTGCATTCTTTGTTAAGTGTCTGGTATTATTTATTTGCATCAATCAAAACTGAGTGTATAGATAAACATGCTTTTATAAGACAATGAACTAATATATTAATATTGTGAAAAAGACTGAGAATTTTTGGTGTAATTATATTCACAGCTCCTCCTGCATTAATATTTCCCTCAAGTGAAAAAACAATTATCATTCAAACACTGGGGTCATTGCATTGGGAATTTTAGAGATAAAAGGGCTTGCCAAATGTTTTCTTCATGAAGACAGCATCCTTTTAAACATTATAAAAAAATGCCCCATAAAACCCCTTGTCTTTAATACATCCTCCTCCTCCCAATGCCTGCCTCTAACATTTCCCTTTCGTTTGAAATGTTTTTCATAATCCTATTGATATTACCAGGGTCACTGTTCCTCTAAACTATTCTCACTTATTCCATCTAGGATTGAAGCATAGGAACAAAGCAATATACCAGGTCAGAAAATTGTAATTCCTCCCTAAAAAAACAAATAATCCGACACTGCAGCATCTTTCAACAACAACTTGCATTTATATAGTTCCCTTCAGCGCTTGACAGTGGTGGAGTCTGACCCCTCCCAACCTCTCAGCTCCCACCCCCAGAACCCAAGCCAGCACTTGGGTTTGAGACATTAAATGCGCTTTGAGATATCTTCTCAATATGAGAAGATGTAAATTGTATTGTACATCTTTCATATCCTAATTGCAGTAACTCATAATTGAATTATTTGCCAATTAATTAAGTAATCCTTGCATTTGATATAGCGCCTTTCACATTAGGAAGATGTCTCAAAAACACTTTGAGGATTTACTGCAAAATATAGTGACTGCATTTTGCAGTCAAACATGGCAGCTACTTTGTGCACAGCAGTGCCCAGCAAACAGCAATGAAGTGAATTAATCGGTGGGTTTGTTGGCCAGGCCGATGGGAAAAACTCCCTTCTCTTTTTGCAGGCTATACACTGGAAGCACTGCTGAAGTCACTTTGCATGCACTTCTCACACATAAAGTGCACGGACTACACTCAGGAAGCGACATCAGCGACGACCCAGAATTCAACCATTTGGGTCTGAGTTTATGGATCCAGGCCATTGTGTTAGAATGATATTGCTCTGTAGCCATTTAATTTTCTTGAACTTATTGATACAATCTGTCTTCACGGCCTCCCTGGATAGTCTGGTCCACATTTTCACCATTCTCCTTGTGAAATAATTAAATCTTTTCACTTTTCCTCTTTGAGCTATATTCTTCTATATTTATCGATCATCTTATCTATAACCTTCTGGTGCTTCAGTAAGATTTCTTCTGAACCTTCTTTTCTTTAGTGTGAACATTCCCAGCTTCTGTAACTCAAGAGAGTAATTCCAGCTATCAGTCTAGTTGTCCTTTGCTGCGTCCTATCCAATACCAAGATGTCCAGACCAGGATTGGTAGCAGTAATCCAGTAGTTGGCCTACATGTTCTTTCATTTCCCTGCATCATTTGTCTGTTGTCTGTTGAAAGCAAATACCTTTGCACTGTTTCCCACCCAAAATCATTATTTCGTGGGATCTCAAGGCTGGGGAACGTATGCCTCTTTCAGTCTTCCCTTTTCCCTACAATCCCTACAGCTTTGCATCTCCTAACCACTTCTTGACCTACCTCAGCTTCTCCTTTCACACATAATAATAATAATAATCCTTGCATTTGATATAGCGCTTTTCACGTCGGGAGGACGTCCCAAAGCGCTTCACAGAACACACTGTAAAGTGAATTGACTGTATATTTGTGGGCGAACGCGGCAGCCAATTGAGCACAGCAATGTCCCACAAACAGTCGTAGATTGAAAATAACCAATTTAATTATTGTTTTGGGTTTTTGGAGGGATTATTATTAGGCGTGTGGAGTAAGAAAACTTGCCCAAGGTTTCGCCCTGTATGGAATTGAACTCCACATGGTGGTGTCCTTCACCAAGGTTTCTTAATGAAACCTCTGTGTACTATACATTGTAACTGATATGCATGATTAGAAAGAAGAATTGGTATCTTCAGTGTTTTTTTTTATGCTGTTTCGTGCATCAATAGTTAATATTAAGTATTTCTTGAGGTCTTGATAAAGAATGAGTAAGAACAGAAAATCTGAATCTTGATCTCAACAAATTCACTAAAGGGTTTAATTTGGCTAATTTGACGAATTTGTCCCTTAGTATTAGAAAGGATTTCCAGAGAGTCAGCCTAAGAAGGTGATGGATTTCACTGAAGGTCTCCACGTGTCTCTCTGTACGGCAAGTTGGCCGGGTATCTGCTCGACAGTGAGAAGTCCTGTAGCTCAGTGGTTAGAGCACTCGCTTTGCAAGTGAGAGACCTGAGTTCAATTCCAGGCAGAGGGCGAAACCTTGGGCAAGTTTCCTTACTCCACACGGAGCCTAATAATAATCCCTCCAAAACCAAAAACAATAATTAAATTGTTCATTTTCAATCTATGACTGTTTGTGGGACATTGCTGTGCGCAATTGGCTGCCGCATTCGCCCACAAATATACAGTCAATTCACTTTACAGTGTGTTCTGCGAAGCGCTTTGGGACGTCCTCCCGACGTGAAAAGCGCTATATCAAATGCAAGGATTATTATTATTAAGTGTGGTTGCAGGAAATGTCTTTCATTATAGATTTGCTGTTTGCAAAATACTTCAATGAATATTGCAAATGAAACTCCAATATAATGAGTTACAAAATAAACCACAGCCAATATGGATTGGAAATATGTGTGCATCACAATAAGGTTATTAATCTTCCTGACATCACACTGCTGAGGAAATAAAAATATTTAAGGTGGAATTTTCTAAGCGGAATGTCCCAGTTGCATGTGACTGATGCTCAAAATAAAATGTCTTCACATTGCAACAACCTGGAGCACTGGGCTACAATGCGTAGGGTGTGAAGGAGAGCATTCATCACATGAGATTAGCTCCACAGGTTTGAAGAGTAGTTTGTGCCATAGGGTGTTCATTATAATTATATGATAATTATTGCTGTACGATAATAACCATCGGTGATCGGGCCTTCAGCCTCTTCGCCCTCACTGTTTGGAACTTCATCCCACAGCCCCTTCACCTCGCCCCATCCCTTGCCTCCTTCAAGGAACTTCTTCAACCACGCCTTTGGCCACCATCCTACCCTCTCTGCCCTCCACACTCCCTTATCCCAACCCCCTGCTCGCATCCAAAATCCCTGAGTGTCCAGCGTCTTGGGATGTCCTTCTGAGTGAAAGGCGCTTTACAACTATAATTTATTATTGTTGTTGGTGCTAATCATCACAAGAGAAGAATTTGCGATCATTTGGAGGTTTAACACCAAATGACCACTGGGTGGCAGCACACCCCTCCCAGAAATGGCTTCTTTTGGTTTTGACATCTTTCAGGCACTGTGATCTGAAGAAGGACAAAGTCTGTTCTCTCTCTCCCTCTCCAATAATCTTAGCGTTTTGGTGGCCAACGTCCGAGGACTTGGTTCTGATTATTAAATGGATTAAATTAAAAACCACTCCATTGGCAAACAATTTAAAATAAGAAAATCTGATCACTGTTATCACTACTGTTATCATTGATGCTATCACTAGCTTTCTATCAATGTCATACAAACCATTCAAATTTATCCTACAATTCGCACGAACAATGGAGTAACATATTCTTAGTGATGATCAAAAGTGCAGGAAACACAACATGCGAAGGCTGTGCATTTATTGCTGCAGAACACCAAATCCAAACATAGACAATATCAGTGAACCTCACCGTGCTTGGTAATTTAATAGTAGCAGAACATCAAAGCATTCAAGTGCTGATCTCAGATTATAATTGTATTGGGCACGCTCAGTGCTATCACTAGTGATTAGTATTTATGTTGCAATATTATGAAAATTGTCCTTTCATTTTTTTGGCCCAATTGAGATAATTTCCTCTTATAATTAAGCGGCTTGATCATGGAACATGAGACTATCAGAAATGCCCGCAGCGATTAACAGTTCAGTTATTTGAGATTTCGGCATTAACTCACCAGAAACAATAGAAAAGCAGTAAGGATCATTTGCTGGAATGCAGCTGATGTGAGTGGAGTTACTGGGTTTATTGCTGCACAAAGTGATGCAGTGAAAATCACATCATATTTTTCTCCCAATAC